GTTCCAAGAATTCTTTGACACTGGAAATTAGCTTCGCTCCTTATAATTTAAGCAAGACTTAATTTAAACAAATGGTTCAGTTACCATCTGGGAAAGGCCTGGCAGAGAGCTGGGGAAAAAAACTTCTAAAATGTTTAGTCTGCTTTACTCTACATTTTCCCAATATTTTGCTTTATGTATCTCTTTCTAGTTAGCAGCTGTTACTGGGTCTTCATCTTTCTCCTTCCCACTTTCACCTGTTTGGCTTGAATTTCTGTACACCTTCCTTCTCTCTCCAGTTTCGCCCACTTTGATTTTTTTCTTCCCTCCCTTTCTGGTGGGTGGCGAGTGGCGCATACAGCAGTGGCACACCCTCACAGGCTTATTTAGAAAGACTCCTGCAGGGGGTGTTGCTTCTGTTTTTGTCCCTTCCGGGCAGCAGCATCCTAACTGGCAGGCAGGAGAGGGACAAAAGCGATGGCTTTGGTTGTGATTTCATTTCCCATCCTATTTCTAATTTTTAAAAGCTGACAGACACCAAGAACAAAGGTAAAAGAAGCAAAATAAACAACTAAGAGTACTACAAACTACAAAGCTCTGCACAACAAAGAAAATCATCAACAAGATGAAAAGGCAACCTACCATGTGGGAGAAAATACTTGGAAATCATGTATCTGATAAAGGGTTAATAGTCAAAATATATGAATAACTCATACAACTCAACAGCCAAAAAAATAAGACAACAACCCACACGATTTGATTAAAAAACCGGCAAGGATGTGAAGAGACATTTTTGAGAGAAGACATGCAGATGGCCAGTAGGTATATGAAAAGGTACTCATCACCACTCACCTCCAGTGACATGCAAATCTAAACCATAATGAGGTGTCACTTCACATCTGTCACAATGGCTCTCATCAAAAAGACAGAAACAGTAAGTGTTGGGGAGGATGTAGAGAAAAGAGAACGCTTGTGTCCTGTTGGTGGGAACATAAATTGGCACAGCCACTAAGGAAAAGCATAAAGAGGTTCCTCAAAAAAGTAAAAATAAAACTACTATAGGATCTGGCAATCCCACTTCTGGGTTTTTTTTTTTAAAGAAAATAACAAAAACTAACTGAAAAAGATATCTGCATTCACACATTCACTGCAGCATTATTGACAAGAGCCAAGAGACAGAAACAACCTAACTGTCCACTGATGGATAAAGAAACAGATGCATACAATGGAATACTATTCAGCCATAAAAAGGGGAACTTTGCCATTTGATACAACACAAATGGACCTTGAGGGCACTATGCAAAGTGAAATAAATCAGAGGAAAACAATACCATAAGATCTCACTCAGAGCCAGAATCTAATAAAGAATGAACTCATAGATACAAAGAAGAGATTGATGGCTGCCAGAGGAAGGGCTTGGGGATGGGTGAAATAGGTAAAGGCGGTCAAAAGGCACAAAATTCCAGTTATAAGACAAATAGGTCCTGGTATGAAATGTACAGCATGGTGACTGTAGTTAACAATACTGTATTGTTTATTTGAAAGTTGCTGAGAGAGTACATCCTAAAAGTTCTCATCACAAGAAAATGTGTAATTATGTGTGGTGATGAATGTTAACTAGGTGTGTTGAGGTGATCATCTCACAATATACACAAATATCAAATCATTATGTTATAAACTTGAAACCAATATAATGCTATTTGTCAATTATATCTCAATAAAAAACAAAAGCTCACAAATATCACAAAATTCAGAGACACAGCATTACATAATAAATAAATAAATAAATAAAGTTATTTAATTTTATTGTTTAAATAAATTATTTAAATTATATATTTGTATAAATAAATATATTAAATGTATATATAATAAATAATAAATATATTAGTTGACTCACCATTATTTTTTCCTACATTTTTGGTGATGCACTTTTTACATAAAAATGATTCTTGTAGTATCAAATAGAAGCAAGCAACTCGCTATCCATAATGCCATAAGTTCAGGATTATTGTCAAATTTAGGGAAACTTCTATTAAGTTTTTGTCTCAGGAGTAACTCGATATTTTAAGGTAATGCTGCTGCTGCTGCTAAGTTGCGTCAGTCTTGTCCGACTCTGTGTGACCCCACAGACGGCAGCCCACCAGGCTCCCCCGTCCCTGGGATTCTCCAGGCAAGAACACTGGAGTGGGTTGCCATTTCCTTCTCCAATGCATGAAAGTGAAAAGTGAAAGTGAAGTCGCTCAGTCGTGTCTAGCTCTTAGCGACCCCATGGAGACTGCAGCCTACCAGGCTCCTCCGTCCATGGGATCTTCCAGGCAAGAGTACTGGAGTGGGGTGCCATCACCTTCTCCGTTTAAGGTAATAATTACTTTAAATACTATAAATTGAAGTAAGTCATGAATCAGTCTATCATAGATGCCCCTGTTGTAGCGGCCCATTATGATTTTTTAAATTTTTTATCTCTGACAGGATAAAGCCTCCACTTTGACCCATCAGCAATAAGAACTAAATTTTCTCCATTATTCAGTCATGTCTGACTCTTTGCAACCCCAGGGACTGTAGCCCACCAGGCTCCTCTGTCTGTGCGATTCTCCAGGCAAGAATACTGGAGTGGGTTGCCATTTCCTACTCCAGGCGATCTTCCTGATCCAGGGATCAAACCCAAACCTCCTGTGTCTCCTGCATTGGCAGGCAGATTCTTTACCACTGCACCACCTGCGATGCCTCCTAAATCTCCTGCTTACAATATTAAAGATCTGATGATTGTACAAACTGTACACAGACTAGCTTCTGGCTTTGTACATTTCAAACCTGTTTCTCCTCCTTTACAGATTTTGGGGTTAGGCCCTTCTGTTTTACAGTGTCAGGTGAAGAAACATGGTAGACCATAGGGATATTCATAAAAGCCACACTGGACAATTAATGTAACTTACCATGATTTATTTCTACAGGAAAAAACTGGAATCCCATAAAAACCTATCCCATGAATGTGCAATTCAACCCTCCCTTTGCTGGATCCCAAAATGATGGTTGCCACCTCTATTGCCACCAGGTGCAAAAAGTCAACAGAGGGCAAACTGAAGTGGAGAAAGTGTTTTTGATGGATTACTTCCCTGGTGGCTCAGATGCTAAAGAATCTGCCTGCAATGCAGGAGACCTAGGTTCGATCCCTGGGTCGGGAAGATCCCCTGGAGAAGGGAATGGCAACCCACTCCAGTATTCTTGCCTGAAGAATTCCATGGACAAAGGAGCCTGGTGGGCTACAGTCCGTGGGGTCACAGAGGGTTGGACACAACTGAGCCACTAACATTTTCACTTTTCATGTTCACAGTTAATATACCTTATTTTCTCCAATTTTACAACAACATGTGACATATGAATCCATTCCTGGTCATGCCCACGACATTGTAAGAAGCCAGACAAAGACATAACTGAATCTACAGCTTTATAGGCTAACCATGAATCTGCCTTTGTGACAGAAAAAGTTCAACTTAGGCTTTTTTAAAGATAGGAAGTAGCTCTAAGGACAACGGAAAACTTATTCTCTAATGAGAACTAAACTCAGCTGCTTTTACATATTTCAGCAGATAAAAATCATAACTTTTGTACAGAGGCAGTCTGTACAGATGCAGCTACTGAGTAAAATTTCAGACCCACAGACTATGAGAGGCACACGGTGACAGGGAAGGGAAGGGCGGCTTGTTGGATCAAGGAATCCATCAAGTGGAACAGAGCAAGTGGGAGTCACTTCAATTCAGACTCCAGGAAATTCTGGCCTTGCTTTGGAACCCCAGAATTACCCAAGATGTTGAGATAATCATCATCGCATCTTTGGCAAGCAAGCTCTTTCAAAACCAAACCAAACTACAATGAAAACATCAACCTTTCTTCCCCTTCCACCTCACCCAAAAACCTTATCCTTTCCTTGCCAAATCCTTAACCCAGCTGACAGGATAAAGAGTTCTTTTTGTTGCTGTGTACTGGGTGGGAAAGCACCTTAACTTCTGCTTTGGGACCCACTTTTGTGAGACACTTTCCTCTACAGCAGGCTCTGATGTCCATCTTCTGAGTCTCCACACTAAGAAACCAGTGAAAACTCTTCCCAGCAGGTTAGGGCCCCTAGGCTGATCCAAGACGGATCTTCACAGGTGGATATGAACAGGGGTAGAGGGGGTCTGTGTTCCTTTCCTCAATGGGTACGCATTTTCCTTTTAGAAAGTGCTCTTTGTATGCCCCTAGAGCATAGAAGGGAGAACCCCAAAACCTAGTGATGTGGAGGAGTGAAATACATCACCAAGCTGTTTTCCCACAGCTATCTCCCATTCTCATTTCCCTAATGAAACAACGTCAAAGAATTAAAAAACCACAATTCACTAACAAAAATTCACTCAGTTATTTGTCAAACACCAGCACTGAAGATTTAACAGTTGACAGGGCAAAGTTGTTGTCCTCATGGTCATGAGATTCTAATGAGCACGGCCCTAAGCTGGGAATGAGAGAAGAGATAGCTAAGTGGGCAGTGTGGGGGGGGGGGTGTTGCAAGATGAGGAGGGAGAGGTACCCTGGGTCACAGCCACTGGACCGTCAAAAGCCACAGTTAGGGCTTTGGGGTTTACTCTAATCTACTGGAAGGTTTGTGACACCATCTGGTTGTTTTAAAAGGCCCACTTTGGCTGCTGTATTCACTGAGGCAGGGAGCTGTATATACAGGTGGTTGGAACAAATACAAGTGACCGCTGAAGGGGGCTTGGTCTAGTAAAGTCACCATGAATCTGCTTTTGTGCACTGGACAAGAACTGAGAGTTCATTAGTACACAGCAATGACCAATGTTTGACCAAATCTGGATCCCAAATCCAAGCTGTCTTTGCAAAGGTCTCCAAGTTAAATCCCCCCCACATTTTCTGCAGCTAACTCCAACCTGCAGTCTGCAGAACTTGCATATCAACATATGCAACATATGTCAGACTGACAGACCAAGCACCCACAGTTCCCTTATTCAGTTGTACAAACTGCACAGAAGATGACAAAGCTTTTGGGACCAGACAGACCTGAGGTGGAGCCATACTCCATGGAGAGCAGAGCCAACTCGGGGCAAGTTCTTGACCTCAGAGCCTCCGTTTACCAGTGGGTAGAAATGGAGAGTATCCCATCAAGTTGTGGGATAACAAATTAGAATTATGTAAGAAGGGTTTAGCAGATTACAGGCATTTGGTAGAACTCAGATCCAAAATACAGCCCAGTGTGAAAACGGCCACTTTCTGCCCTTTGGAGGTAAAATTACTTCTGCAATTTTCTAACTAGCCGGTGTAACATCTTTTGAAATAGTACCCAGATTCCTGGCAAGTCTCCAGGAAATTGATTTAATCTGATTCTCTTAACTACGTATTTCCAAGTAGGGACAGCACTAACTGTGACACCAGAGGTGCTTGTAAAGAAGTGCAGATTCCTGGGCAGCATCCCATTAGTTCAAAACAAAAAACTCCAGGGTACAGCCCGGAGTGCACTGAAATATCCTCAACAGGTTGTGCTGCCTTTTGAGAACCATCCCCCTGATCCAGCTCCAGGGAGAAGGGGCCCCTGGAGACAGGTCTCAGCCCTGCTTTGCAACAACAAGTCCGACTCCTCTGTGGTGGCTGCAGGAGGCGCAGCCGCTGACGGGAACAATTTTTCATACTGAGGAACATTGCAGTCCCTTTTGGAATGGCGGGAATTTACCTCTCGCTTTAGCGTCCCCATCCGCAACACCCCACCTCCCACCAAGCCAGGCAGCGCACAGTCGCGCCTCCTGCAAGATTTCTCTCCCGACCACAGCGACACCCACCGAGGAAACGCGGTATGTGCACGTGAGACGCGGCGAGAGTGCCGCGGGCGAAGCATCCCGGCGGCCACGCGGGGCAGCGAGACCACGACGGGCGAGGGACGCAAGCCAGTCGCCTGGCTGAGGATGGCCCCGGCTGCTGCCCAAGAGGGTCCTGGGGGAATTTCGGAGTGGCACCCCGCTAGCCCAGGTGATCTTTTTGGAGGACCAGCTGTCTCTTAGGAAATAGAGGAACTAGCGCCCTCAAGTGCCTGCGAGGCAGTTAGCGCTTCCGTTAGTTACTAACGAGCCTCCCAGAAAGAGAAAGATACAAACCTAGCCTATGGTCCAAGAAGGAAAAACAAACAAACAAACAAACAAAACGCTGCAATCCTCCTGCCAGCCAGGCCCTGAGGCCACGGCTCCTGCTACCCCTTATCCTTGTTCATGTGTGACTCTGTGCCCATCTCATCACCATTCCCCAAGCCGTAACTCCACAGGAGAACGTAAAAAAAAAATTAGAGTGGGACGTTTCCCAGGGAACAACTGCAGGGAGGCAGATAAAGAGGGCAGAGAGAGAAAAGGGAGAGAAATCAAGAGAGCTTTCCTAGAAAGATTTAATCAGACAGGAGGAAGGCAGCAGCGGTGCATGGGATCTTAGCCCAACCCCCTTTCCTCCGAACCTGCCACAGCCACTTCATCCTTCTCTCCTTGCTCCTAACGGGTGCCCCACGAGGCACTGTCTGCACAGGACTTGGAGTCTCCCTCATTTCGGTATCTTAGCTTGGGCTGCTGTATCACAACAGCCGCTGGGTGACTGAGACACATGCATCTCACAGTTCTGGGGGCTGAGAGGTCAGAGATGAAGGTGCCCATGTGATCAGGTTCTGGTTCAGACCCTGTGCCTGGTTTGCAGACTGAGCTCTTCTCGAAGTGTCCTCACATGATAGACAGCAGAGGGAAGAAGCAAGCTCTCACTGTTTTAAAGATTTTTTTTTTTTTTAATGCAGACCATTTCTAAAGTCTTTCTTGAACTTGTTACAATACTGCTTCTGTTTTATGTTTTGGTTTTCTGGCCATGAGACATGTAGGATCTCAGCACCGTCTGCACTGGAAGGCAAAGTCTTAATCACTGCACCACCAGGGAAGTCCCTCTTATCTCTTCTTATGAGGGCACTAATCCCACTCACAGGACTTCACCCTCATAATCTAACTGCCTTCCAATGGCCAAATACTATCACTTTGGGGATTAGGACTTCAGAAATTTGGTGATGGGAAAAAGCCATTCATTAAAAAGGGTCCCTGAGGACATCTTGGGGATTCAGAGACAGAAATAATTTAGTACTGTCACATTAGATATCATCAGCTTCTGTTCCTTCCATTATCAGCTCTGAGATACAGGACTTTGTGGTCCCTGTTGTACCCCCATGACTGGCAAATGGTAGCTGCTTAATACATCCCTGTTCAGTGAAAAATCCTAAAATACTAATTTGGAATTTACTCTGTGCCAGGCAGCATTATAAGATCTTCACCTACAGTAACCCTTTACTCCTCACTACAACTGTAGGAGGTAAGGTTTTCAGATAAGGAAAGCCAGGCACCCCATAAATAATCTATACAGGTTCACACTTTCAGCAAGTGCAGAAGCTGGAATCAGGCCTGGGCTCCATAGCCCCAGAGTTCTCACAGCTCCCCAGGGTACCACAAGGCCTCTTATGAATGAATGCAGGGAGAACAATGTTGGTTCTTTGGGAAAAGATACAAGATTTCCAGCTGCAAAAGGCCTGAGTAATGAGGAAGAAACTTCTGACTTAATGCTGAGGGAGAATGGAGCCCTCCGGTCTCCAGGCTCTGAGATGAATGTCTGGAACCTCACTCATAGTAACCAACCCCTAGGGGATCTTTCCCGTGCTTTCAGCTATGGCTGTGGCTCTCAACCTGGACTGCGCCGTTAGAGGCACCTGCAAGAGAATTTTTAAAAACCCAGTGTTTTTGTTTTTTAAAAAAAAACCCCGAATTTTAAAAATTTAGGCCATCCCCCAATACTAACTGCATCAGAATCTTTAAGGGCGAGTCCCAGCCATGGATTCAGCGCCTCTGAAAGTTTCCCAGGTGACTCCAATGTGCAGGCGAAGTGGAAGGGCCTGGCAGTCAGCTGGCAAACAGGAACCTGGGGCTTTCCCAAAGGGTGGTCTCTGAGCACTGACTCAGAGCCACGAGGTTTACCTGTCACCAGGACAGATTTCTGGGCCCCATCCGGATTCATCCCATCACAATCTCCTGGAGTGGGTCACGGGAACTGCTCAGAAGAAGAAACAGAAGTTCCCAGTGATGTGTATGCAAGATGGAGTCTGAGAGCCACTGCCAGGGCAGTTGTTTTTAAAGTATGGTCCCAGACAAGCAGCAGTGTTACTTGGCACTCATCAGAAACAACGCAGCAGACCCACCCGAGACCTCCTACACCACAAACTGTGGGGTGGGTCCAGCGGTCTGCGCTCAGAGAGGCTCCAGGTGACCGTGGAGCCGCCAGCCTGCAAACCATTTCTCTGAATAAAGGGCTTCCAGTCCAAATCCCAGCTCGGTCATTCACTAGCCAGGGGACCTCGAGGTGGTGGTGGTGGTGTCGTCTCTAAGTTGTGTCTGACTCTTGCAACCCATGAACTGTAGCTCACCAGGCTCCTCTGTCCATGCGATTCTTCAGGCAAGAATACTGGAGTGGGCTGCCATTTCCTTCTCCATGTGATGCCGAGAAGCTTATTTAACTCCTCTATGCTTCAGTTTCTTCATTTGTCAGTTGGGTGGGTGTGTTATTGGTTGAATTATGTCCCTCCAAATGTATATGTTGAAACCCTCTCAATACCTCAAAATAGGACCTTTTTCAGAAAAAGGGTCCTTGCCAAAGGAATTGAGATGAGGCCCCGGCAGAGTAGGGTGAGCCGTGATCTAGTAGGACTGGTCTCCTTAGGAAATGAGGAGATGGGGAGACAGGCAGGCACCCAGGGAGAATGTCCTGGGGAGAACGGGCTGTGCTCCACAAGTCAAGGAGCCACCAGAGGCTGAGAGGGAGACGCGGAGCAAATCTTCACCTAGTGCTGCAGAGGGAGCAGCGCTCTGCCCACACCCAGACGTGGGGCTCCTGGGCAACGACACACTCCTGTGCAAGCTACTGTCTGTGGAGCGGCGTGATGGCAGCGCCAGCAAGCTAACTTGGGGACAGTCGGTACGAGACGTAGCACAATACCTGCTAACAGTGGCTTCCCAATAAATGTTAGATTTTGTCATTTAAAAAGGGAGGAAAAGTGATTCTGTACACGGTCTCCTTAAGTAGGAGTTAAACCTGAGAAGTAGGAAAAGGAACAAAGCAGGAAATTCCATCCAGTGGACGGAGGCGGGGGTGGGCAATGGCCACGGTGTGTGCCAAGCCGCCCTGGCCCTGGCTGGAGGCTAAGAAACAGTGGACAGATGGTCACCATTTCTGGTCACTCCTGATCTGGAAAAGAGCCAAATGAGGGATCCAGACGCAATGTGTATTTAGCTCTGATGTAGCTCTCATCTCCAAAGCTCTCTGGGGAGGCCTCAGACCTTCCATGAACTGTCCCAGCCCTTCCTGGTCAAAAGTGTCCCTGCCTGGGGACTAGAATCTATAACCAGCTCCTGTTCTATTCAGACCCTCCAGAAGCGTGTGTGGGGGGAGGTGGGGGGAGAGAGGGAGAGAGGTTCATTGAATCACCTGAAATGAGTATTAATGAAGCAGAGTACGAGTTCCCTTCATCACCCTCAACAACACAGTGACCTGGGTGCTCGTTAGTGCCTAACCTTTCTGTAAGGGCTTCCTAGGTGGCTCAGTGGTGAAGAATCTGCCTGTAATGCAGGAGATGCAGGAGACGAGGGTTCGATCCCTGGGTCATGTAGATCCCCTGGAGGAGGAAATGGCAGCCCACTCCAGTATTCTTAACTGGAAAATCCCATGGACAGAGGAACCTGGTGGGTTAAGTCCACGGGGTTACAAAGAATCAGACACGACTGAGCGACTAACACTTTCATTTTTTCACTGACATCCCACCCAGTTCTTGAATATCCTCCTCTCCCTGCCAGGCAGTGAGGGAAATAAGGGGGCACTAGTTTTGTGAGGAAAAGACTCTGCTTTGTGAGCTTGTGCAACTATGCAACCCCTCTGAATTTCAGGGGTTTGGTTTTTCTCCTTTAAAATGGAGTTATTAATATTTCTTTGGCTTTTCTCATTTGGTTGTTAAAATTCAAGGAGATGGCATGTGTTCAACATAAAGTGTGATACAGGTGTTAAGCACTGCACAGTAGGGAAACTGATCATGGCGTTGTAAACATATCCTGCTTGTAGGTGGGGTTCACTGACCTTGGTATGAGGGTTTTGCACATGTCCTTAATGAATGCAGGTGAAATTTAATAGAAAAGGAGCACACTAAATAAGGGCAAAGTGAAGAGAACTAACATCCACGGGCATTATCTCATTTAATTCATTCACAAAGCAAGTGAAAGAGCAGTTGTAACTGAGTAGAACCCTTTGGGACCCTTCCAGAACAGACTCCCTCATGTGCTCTGCTTGCCTCTTGTTTGTAGAAAAACTTGAGCCTCCTAGGCATTCCCCAAGTTCTAAAGAGTAAATTTAATCAGAGAACTGAGACAATGCAGAAAGAAAAGAAATCAGTCAAGCAAAATAATAATAGTTTAGCCATTAAACAAAGTCAAGGACCTTTAGTTCCTCTTCGAGGGCTACAGATAATATTCTGAGCCATGTCCTTTGAGCTGTTTTGCAGAAACCGAAACCTCCACCAAGTGGAAGAAGCTAGCTGCATTCTGCCCACAAGCACGTACACCCCAGAGTGGCTGGAACCGGAAGGTCGATTAACTTCCAATTACCTCACCATGGGACAATCACGCACTCCACAACCCTCCTCCCTCCTCATGTCTTTAAAAATCTTTCCCTGAGAGTCAGTGGGGAGTCTGGCTCTTTTAAGCACTAGCTGCCTGGACTCTTTGCTTGGTGCCCTGCGATAAACCTGCACTTAGCTTTGGCACAACCCAGCGCCAGAAGACTGGCTTTACTTCGCACCAGCTGACCGGACCTGTTTGGTTTGGTTACAAAGCAATTAAGCAAATGTTAAACCAGAGGTTCCCAAACTTTCTCAGTTCATGGTCCTCCTGGTATGTCAGCACCCCAGGAAAGGAAATACCTAACAGTTCTACTTATTATGTAGCCAGGTTCAAACAATTTAATCCACACCGACAGCCTCAGGTTCAAACAATTTAATCCATACTGATGGTCTAACAGCTTAGCACCTGTTGGGCTCTCTATGCTTCTCAGATTTTGGATTTAGATACAACTGCCAACTCATTTCTCATTCCCCAGTGCCTTTCACACAGTTCTAGTATCTGATCACAGCTGAAAATTTTCCTAGTCATCCATAAGACATCAACAGAAGGAACATAGTGATCTAAGGTTGAAAATAAACTAAAGCTAGAGGTACACATGACACTGGACAAATGTTTCTGTGTTTCCCAAGATATGTATTAAATAAAGCTATCCCAGAGAGTTCCCTGAAAGTTCACCGTGGTACCGCAGGGTGCCTCAGTATCAGTTTGGGAATGAAGGTAACAAACTCTCGTTCAGAAGTGTGTCGTAACTCGTAGTCAGAACTTTTCAAATGCTGCCCTGCAGAGGGATCCCCTGGGGGGTCTCCTTACATTGGGGGTTCTGATTCGGCAGGTCTGGAATGGGGCCCCCGCGAGTTGCTTTTCTACAAGCTCTGAGTTCGGGGTACACAGCCAGTTCACAGACAGCGCTCAGAGCAGTGAGGCTGCAAGTGAAGCCGCCAGGAGAGGTGGGGCGGCTGGTGACCAGTCCAGGCCTCAAAGCCTCCGCCCTCTTTCCCACAACCTGATTGCCTGCCACATCAGTACAACTGCAGGAGCATTTAAGCAGTATTTGAGTTTCTAGCTCTGCCCGTAAGGAAGTTTAGAAATTTATCTCTCCCACCCACATAGAGACCAAAAGAAAGCTGAACAAACCGAAAAATCAACAACTCTTCTCAGATCCATCAGAGAACTGAAGCCATAGGACAAGCCACTGCCCTGCAAACTGGAGAGACCTATAGGCAGATGCAAAGTCACAACTCACCAGAGCAGAAGCCAGTCTGTGGGAACCGGTGCCTGGGCGGGAAGAGCTGAAGTGTAACTGGTGCGGTGCGGGAGGCCCGATGGGTTAAGCTCCAGGGAGGCTCCCACACTTCTGTGAGCGCGGCCTGCCGGAGTCCTGCCAGGTTCTCACAGGGAAGATGGAGAAGCCCTTCCTACTTCTGGGCGGGGGAGGGGAAAACAGCCTTTCTTAACTACACCCAGACATTTCCATTCTTCCTAACAAGGCCTGCCCGCAAGAGAAAGTAATTTACTAGAGCCTAACCTGCCGAGGTTTTACCAGACCCTAGCCAGCCTGGGGGAATGGACATACCCATCTCAGCCTTCTCCAGCCTCCCTGTCTCAGCGATGAGGGACAACAAAACGAAGAAAATGGAGACGCTTTTATGAAGGTCGGCTCACTAAAAGACTGCCAACCGTAGGACCACAGACGCTTTCCCTCCACATCATCTTCCAGATCACTAGGGCTCCAGTATAACAACTGGGGAATACACCTCCGAGAACTGTGCCTCTCAGGAGATTCAAGAAGCCTCTGGGGAAATCCAAGTACAACAAGGAAGGCAAAAACAGGGACACTGGGAGCAAGTTTAGCCTCGAACACCTTACAGCTGCAGCAAACAGCAACCACAGCCCGAGCCCGAGCCAGACAAACACAAAACCTCACACTGATGGCCTGTTTCCCTCAGTTCCTTGTGCTCTATTCCACATCTGTCTCGAAACAAAAAAGCGTTAAGGCACGCTAAGACACTTTGAAGAGCCTCCAAATACCTGGCCCATGCTCCACTGTCCCAGCAGACTTCACTTACAAAACCCAAATTCAAAACCCAAATTATTATGTCAGGACGGAAGCCACAGAGCATTACAGGCCGAGCAGACCACACATCTGGGAAGCCAGCCTGCATGTCAGCCACGGTCCGGTCAGCACGTGTGACTGGTTATTA